GCTGCCACTGTGAGATGCGCAGCTACTTGTATAGCCAGGTGAGAGCAGCAGCAGCAGTCTGAGCCCCGAGAGCTGGCTTAAAGGTCAAAATGTAAAAACCAGAGGCTTAGCTCTGAAAAGAATAAACGTGCCTGATTTGTAGAGAGGGTTGCGCTGGCTGCGACCCATGTGGGTTGTTCTGGGGAGCAGGTTTTTAGAGGTCTTACAGTACACCAGCACGTGGGGAAGGTGGGACATGTTCTTGGCTTGGGTTATTGACACCGTACTAGTGATGTCTTCTCCTGTGCCAGGAGAAGAGATGGGGTGTTGGAGGTGTCACATCAAGGCTGGGGGTGTCTGCAGGGCCGAGGGGTGTTTTCCTGTTGCAGTTCAGGGTCTCCAGGAGGTTGAACCAGCCCCCAGAATTGCTCTCACGTCCTGGCCCTGTGTTTCAGATTGTGCCTGGTGATCCCTTGGACAAAAGCATCGTCATCCGACCCCTGGAACCCCAGCCAGCCCCGCATCTGGCGAGAGAATTCATGATCAAGACCAGGCGTAGGAAGGTACGTCTGGGAGTAACCCCTGTAGTGTCCCTCTGTCCATCTGTACCAGCAGCCGAGTGTTGCAGTGTTGTCCCTTTGTCACGCCACATCCCCTCTGTGTTCCCAGAGCAGATCAATGTCTTTTGTGCCCAGGACTTCCCTCACTCTTGATCCCCCAGGCTGCCTGTTGGTGCCTGTGATGGTCCCATGAGTGACTCAGCTGGCAGTGACTCCACCCAAATGCAGGATCCTATGGCATCCGCTGAGCCCTGCTCCCTCCCCAGCCCATCTGACCCCTTGGTGGCCTGATTTAGCCTGTTTGTCCTGCAGAAGAAGCATCAACTGATTTCTGTGCTGGTTTAGTGAGCTGGACTGAGGAGTTGGAGGGGCTCCTGGGACCGCAGAGGGAATCCAGCTCCCCTTTGGGAGGGCAGTGAGCTGGTAGATAGGCTCAGCAGCAGCAACCTCACATTTGCAGCTTCCTGAGAGGCTGTTAGATGTCTTCAAGATGCTGAGAAGTACCTCCTGCCTTGCAAATTCTCCTGCCCTCTCTGGAGCCTCAAAATTTATCTTACTGAGGGACACCAGGGCTTTTTGGTGGGATCTCTGCCACGATGGCTGTAAGAGTGCAGGCCGCCAGCGTAATAACCTCTGGCTTTGTGATTACCCTGCAGGGTTTGAGCGAGGACGTGAGCATCAGCAAGTTCTTCGATGACCCCATGTTGCTGGAGCTGGCCAAGCAAGACGTCGTTCTCAACTACCCCATGTGAACGTGCTACTGCGGCACGAGGGCTGACCTGAGTCCTGGCCCGGGTCTGTCTGTCCTTCCCCCATCCCTGCTTGCCCAGACCT